GCCATTTTCCATCTCCTTTCTTTGAATTATGGAAAAGACAGATTCAAAGTCCCCTTCCAAAAAGTAAAAGAAACAGACTCGTTTTCTTTGGCAAAAAATAAGAAATAGATGTGGCATGAATTCCAAAAACCAAAAACAAATTCAATAGTCATTGCTCACAAAAACTTACAATGAAAAGTATCCCTAAAAAGAAAGTTTTTATTAGATTCATTTGAATGAAAAAATACGATTTATTGTTAAAATAACCTTTTATTTTTTAAAAATATCTTCTTAATTTTTTTTTTTATTCTATCGAAGAATATAATAGTACAAAAAAAATTTCTATTTGATATTCTTACATTTATAATTTATTACAGGCTTAGTGTAGGCTTATGTAAAGACTGACTTAAATATTTTTTTATGGAATTATTATGTTATCATTTATATATTTATTATATTTAAATACTTAGTAAAAAATATATTAAATTAAAATATTTTTATGGTGTAAAAGCTTGTCATTGTGTATAGAAGCCTGTAATTCATTATAATTAAACCTTCTACAAATTTTTAAAATAAAGTAAGAATTTATTTATTAATATCTTTCAAAATAAAAAATAATCACAGATACATTAGTTATCCAGCTTGCTACAGTTTTAGAATAAATATTTTTCATGTAAAGGTTGGAAAGAATCTAAAGGCTCTCTAAAGTATTAAAGAAATATAAAAGTTAATTTTTATAGGAATAAAAATTTATATTTAATTTCAAAATAAACTAAATAAACACAAACAAAATTCTCAAATCTTCTCACTATTATATATATACATAGAATCCCAAACTCAAGACATATTGCAAGACCATTTGGTCTTCTAAAGTTTTTTGAAAGATCTTCATCAATTTAATAATGGCTTAAAGCAAAATCTGTACTCAAGCCAAGCATAATAGAAGGTTATACCATAATCCACTAGGGATTTTATAATAATGAGTTTTTAAAAGAAAAAAATTATTTGTATATAGTAATAATGATAACTTTGTGAAACTAATGTTAAAATGATACTTTAAATGCTTAATTTAAAATAATAATTCTTTTAACTACTTTGGACAAGCACAAAATCCATTCATAGTATTTATCAATGAGGCTAATTTAAGTAAAATCACCAAACACAAGATGACAATTAGAATGAGCTTTTAGAGTTGTTAGTATAAGAATTTCAACCAATGAAGTGGGATTCAAACTTGGGAAAAATGCAATGAATTTTAAGTACAAATACAATAATGTGAGTAGGTGGAATAAAGATGGATTTGAGGGGTCCAAGGAATGAAACAAAATTTGGAGGCTTGGTGTAATGGATTAGAGGTGTGGATTAGGTGGGTGAATGGGCTATTGTAGAAGTTGGTTGGGTGTGGTTTAGATGGCAACAAGGCTTTGGATCACCATCCATGCAAGAGCAATTACAAGCATTATATTAGAAAAAATGTTAAAACAAAAAAATAAAAATTATGTGTTTATATATATATATATATATATGTATATAGTTATTTAGTTATAAAATGAGGTGGCAGGGGTGCAGTGGCAAGCATGTATGCAGCCACAACAACATTAATTGAGGATATTGCCTGTAAGCTTGTGTGTAATGTATGCCTCTCCAAAACTCAAATATCAAGAGTTTCTGAACTGATTCCTAAGTAAGTTAATTTGTAGTTCTGTATGTTGAAATCTGTCTTAAATACAATGATGTGTGGCAGTGGATTGTGTTGCATAAGGAAACTCATGTGTAATGTCATGCAAAATGCATGAAATTTAAGCATTGAAGCAAGTGAGTTGGTTAAGAATTGGGTATTTTTGTGTTGTGATGAATAGAATTTTTGATAGGATGGGATGATATAGTTGATATTATTAGTCATATATAAAATGATTCAAGGAAAAAATATATATATATATATATATATATGTTAATACATAGAGAAGGTGTTGTTAATGTCATCATAGTTTTTGTTATTGCCACCACAAGTTGCTTTAAACTTGTAATGGATACCATAATGTATTTTATAGTACATTAAAAAATACATGTATAAAAAATGTGTGTTTTATTCATTGTGGTGTACATTAGGAATATTCTATAAAGTGTATTGTGGTATGTAACACAAGTTTAAAGCAACTTGTAGTAGCATTAGCAAAAACTATGATGGCTTGGAGTGGATGGCAAGTTGTGGTAGTAATAACAAAAATTGTAGTGAAATTAGCAACACCATATATATATATATATATATATATATATAAGGATGGTGAAAATATGTAATACCACTTTTTTGCTTTGAAATAAGAGTTCATATTTACATTAACTTCAAAGAACAAGTTGTGTAGAACAAGATAAATTTCAACTAATTAATAGTTATTAGCTAAAAAAAATAAAAACCACACAAATCAAAATTATGATTTAGGAGAGTATGAAAAAAATCAAATTTCATATTTTGTTATGCCTTTTAATAAAGACCAATAAATTGTACAACAATATTACAAAATAAAAGCAAAATAAATTCTTATTGTATCATTATATCTTCAATGTTATAAAATTATAAAAATAAATAATACTGATAAAAATAATAACATAAATTTATAATAAAAAATAAGAATAATAACATAAAGTAATAAGTATACATAACTTGCTTTAGTTAATTTTTAAAAACAATATTTATTTTAGCTAATATTAGAAATAAAATATTCATAATTATAGATATTATATTTTATAAAAAATTATAATTTTTACATATTAATATTAACATAATTTTTAATTACATCAAATAAAAATATTTTTTAAATAAAAAATTATAACATGAAATATTAAAGTTCTAACATGAATTTTATTAAATTATATATACGCACACACACACAGACATACATACATATATATATATATATATATATATATATATAATCATTCCAAAAAAATGTTACATGTTAAATCTTTGTTTACATGCACCTTTTGATTATGATAGTTTTGTATATGATTTGTAGGCATGTCTATCAATACCTATTATTGATACAATAAATTCTCTCCAACATGTAAAAACTATTTAAATTTTTTTACCATAGTATATGCAAAATTTATTTGTATATATATATATATATATGTGTGTGTGTGTGTGTGTGTGTGTATATCTATGAATTCAATTACACATTTGTATAAGTGTGTGTGTGTTGAACTCCATTCAAGAAGCTATGACAAGACTACAATGTATTGACAAAGTGTACATTCTTCCCTCTTTTGAGGGCCTAGAGAGTCTCCCTCCCTTTGTTCAATGAGTTGCACAAAATACCAACACATCACCGTAGGTACCTTTGTTATATATTTATGCTTTGGATAAAACCAATACAGCATCATCCATCAATGCCCTGATTCCCTTATCTCCACTCCCAGAAACCCACACAAGAATCTCAAGCATAGAAGGTGTCCAATTCCAACACAATGCAAAAACAAACAAACAAATATCAATGAAAAAGAATCAGCTGAAACTACAATGCTGTGATGCATTTACTATTTCCACAGTTCTCCTCTCTCATTGTTCATTATTTATAAGCCTTGTGAGTGTATTGAAAGCAACTCTTATCCCTTCACTTGGGCACATTTCATCCTCTAGAAGCACTTTTCTCAACAAACAAAAACAAAAAAAAAAAAAAAAAAAAAACACATAAATATGGAAAACATTATCCATATATCTGTGGCATGGATGATGAAGCAGGCTGTCACTGGCAACCACCCTTGGAAAGAGCCACCAACATAAAGTGTTTTGAGAACAACAAAAACCCTTGAAGGAATCATATCCATTCAAACCACATGGGACGGCTACTCAGGCAAATGGCACCCTTGCAAAAATAATAAAATATACCCCATTGTTGTGGCACCATACTAGTTGGATGGATGAATAGATGGATGAATAGATGGATGGATGAATGAATGCAATACATGGATGGTTAACATGACCCAATAGATGAATGTATATATATATATATAGAGAAATACAAGGCTTTCCTCCAAGAGTTGGCTCTCACAGCACAACTCTCTCTTTCAGGGGCTGGCAGCGTGGCCTGTTTCAAAGGCAAAACAGTTTTGTTGTTGTTGTTGTTGTGTGCTTCCCACTTGCAGCCCCCCCTGATAGAGGCAGGGCTCCTGTCCTTGGCTGGGTTGGTGGGTGACTGACTGACTGACCGACTGAATGACTAAGTGTGAGTGAGTGCATGTGTGAGTGTGTGTGTTTGTTTGTATAGCTTGTATAGAGGATGACTGCTGTGGCCTGGCCTCACTCTGCCCAGCCTGTCCTGGTCCAGCTCTACCCAGTCACTGAAAGCTCAGGTGGCGTGAGTTTCTGGGAGACGTAGTTGTAATGAAAAGCACACAAAGAAGAAAGAGAAAAAGAAAAGACCCAGTCTGTCACTGTATTGGTTCCAAATTTTATTTTAAAATAAATAAATTGATAAATAAAAATCTGTACATCCCCCTTGACACATGCTGTAGTTTTGCCTGCCCCATTTGGATGAGTCAGGAGGGGGGGGGGGTTCCGTGACATGCCATGTAGGATACAGTCGAAATGCAGCCATTTGTGTTGGTTCTGTAACTTGCTTTGTTTAGCTCTCCCCTGCTGTTGTGTTGTATTCCCAAATCATGCATTTTTATTCCTCATAAAACATCCTTTTATAATCAAGTGCCATAATTGATACGAGAACCAAAGCAAAAGCCTTCTAAGGAACATCTAAGTAAGCCTACTGGTGTCGTGTTGTCTTGACTCCCTTTGCTGAGTCAGCATCTACCAACCGAGAAGAAGAAAAAAAACCGAAATCGTGGATTTCAGGATATAATAGGAATGCCACGTTATTTCTTCATTAAATGTAAGGAAATATGGGAATGTAACGGAAAGTTCCTTGGAAGGATCTGGAAGTCTATGAGTCAGCCGGCGGCATTTTGAGAACGGTTCAAAGAGTCGCGGTCTGGTAGAACGAGTCGGGCCCCCAATGTGTCTTTTAGTGGAGGGAATATGGCTCCGAGGTTTTTCATAATGTCGGTCCGGATATGCTGTGTGTGAGCTTTCTAAACTTGGGTCCTATTCTGAAGGGTTAGTTAGCCTACACTCCAATCACACGATTATGCTTTGCAGATGTTGTGCTCTAATCATTGATGAACACTTTGGAATCTCAGGGTTAAAGCCGTATGTCTGAAATTTATATTGCTATCTTTCCATGGAAGGGTAGGATGATGGGGCAGTTCATGCAGAACCGGTCTCGTCGATATTCGATTACCACAAAACAGTCGCCTTGACAAGCCGCTGGTCCACAATCACACGATTCATTCTAAATCTGTGTATCTCATCGTCCACGTGAGAAGAAGAAGAAGAAGAAGAAGAAGAAGAAAACAGCGTTGATAGGTACTGCTCAATTACGAGACCTGTGACAAAGCTCGAGAGATTCCTTGCTCTGGATAGTTATCTTGCTCAAACCCGTCGATGCACAGCGAGGTTGAATGGATCTGCCACCAGAGCCTGACGCCGTGTGGTCGTGCCACCATGCAAACAAGCGATGAGGAGACATCGACTGGGTACTGGCTGTCGATCGCCCTGGTGGTACAGTCGAACGGGGTTCCAGTGCTGTACAAAGGTTCCGTTATCTGAGGGAGCTGTAGCGAACAAGTACTGGGTTCACCAGTTTTCACCCCTAGTAATAGTAGTAGGTGAGGCGGGTGGTGTGAGACGGGAAATGACCGTGGGGGTGGTCAGGAGATCAAAACAATCCTGTGACAGTCCGATCGTAGACCACCACATTGGCATTTGTGCAGGGCGTGTACAAGTGTAAGTTTTGCTAGGTGGTGCCCCCATTGTCAGAGCGTGGGACCGTCCATGGCCATGGGGCTCTAGGCCTAGCAAGCCTGTATAAGGAGTGACAAGAATTCACTTAAGACAGAACGCCTTCGACGTCAAGGTATCCCTGCAAATGTGTGCGTGCGTCTGCGCGTGTGTGGTTTTGTGTCGTTCAGAGAGCTGGAGGTCGGGAGAGAGAAGGCGAACTGAGCTTGTGCCATGTCATTGAAGAAGGAAGCCTAAAATATTTGAACAGTTTTCGAGCTTTGTACACGCCATCACGTGCTGCAGGCTATGGTCTGATGTCCTGTAGTTTAGAATTGCGGTGATTCTCGTGTCTGGGTTCGGCAGCTCGAGTGGTTAGTCTCTTTGAGGTTAGTATAGACCTCAATGCTCTCATTGCGACTAGCTGAGAAAATCCTCAAACAACTGCCTCTTCTCGGAAGAGTTACGCTGAGGCTTTAGATGTTGGTGTGGTTAGAAGAATAATCAGAGGAATAGTATTCAGAAGCTTGACCACCGAGGAAATTTAAGCAAAGGTTGACGTTCACTGCAACTAGTCTTGAAAGTTCTGCAAAGTGAGGATTAAGTTGAGCGCGTGTGATGGCGGGGCAATACTTCTACGATCCCCGACCTTTTTACGGGATCAACGGCCACAGTGGCCTGTTGCCCTTGGATGAGGTAAATATCACATATGCATATCCTTCGACTATCTTGTCAAATTTGTTTGATGTGTCCTCTGATACAGCTCGACTGATCAGCGAGATTCGATTAGCTTAACCAAAAACAATTTTTGGATCATGTCGAAACTGGAAAACACCTCGCAATACTAGCAGCCTGCTGTAGTTCCTGTAGAAATGCGGGACAACCATGCTCATGTGCTGCGCTTGACTTTGATGTGGACTCAGGTATTCCATGGAAGGTACGAGCCTGTACCCTACTGGCTAGATCAGCGAATGACGTCTCTATCCTTTGAGGATAGTTACTACCCTAGCCAGAAACAAATGATGACCGCACCCCTAAGGCCAGAAATGCAACAATACATCCACCGGGAGGATAACCTCATGGCGTACAAGAGGCCGGAGGTGAGGGACGACATCTACACCGACATGTACAAGCGGCCGCAGCAAATGATGAGGCCCGAGGTGCAAGATGACATATACATGGACATGTACAGGCGCCCCCAGCAATTACATGCAGTGCCTAGTGGATACCGCGTGTATCCCGAGATGAAGTTTCTTCGCGGACAGTCGCAAGATGATATGTGGCTTCATTTCAGAACTCCAATGAGCGGAAAATCTCAAAACCAGTTCACTGGCAGAGGTCTGGAGTCGCAGGGGATGATGGTTCGCAACGGTCCCGTGCAATCGAGACAGTCAGAGGCGTCAATGGGCCCAATGCCTAGCAGAGATAACGGCAGCGACCAGTACCGGCATTCGGAGATGACGATGACCAGCCAGATGAACAAAGGCCAGAACAATGGCGGAGAACAAGTATTGACTCGGCAGATGGAGATGCCAATGAACAACAGACCCAATAATGGCAACAACAATCATAGCAACAAATTGATGAACATGTCCAGCAACCAGGGCGGTAATGATCACAAGAGCTGGAACAACGGCGACGAGAATTCGAGTAGAAAATCCCAAGGACAAGGTGGCCAATCTGTGCACTCGAATGGAAACCAAGGCAACTTGAAGCAGCGCGGGTTCTCCCAGCATGACCAGAGCGCGAACGACGACGACGACGACGACGAGTACGAAATGGGAAGCACTGGCCGTAAGACAGGTTTCAACAACGGGGACAGTTTCCAGCACAAGGGAGAAATGCAGCAGCACTCAAGCAACAAGAATGTCGGCAACCAAAGCTACAGCTCACCGCAGACTCTATCGAAGCCCAAATCCTGCAGGCAAGGGCAATGCGACACCCAGCAAGTTCACGATCACAACCTTTCAGGCCAAAAACAAAGCAAGACGAGCCACAAGTCCCACCAAGACGGATGGGACAGCTCGTCGGATGACGACGAGAGCTACAAGTACACGAAAAAAGCCTCCAAAGGGCAGCACAATCAAGGAACCACCAATTTCCAACACAGCGGCCACGGCAATGGCCATGGAAACAAGGAACAATTCAGCCTCCAGAACCACGGTCAGCAAGCCAAGCAATCTGTAAGCTAGCAATTCGACCCAACTTTGACCTTCATTTCCTAAAATAATTCTATGACTTCAACATGAGCTTGTAAACATCCTGTGCATTGCACCCAGATGAACTTTTCCAGGTTGTAATTTTGTTGATGCAGCAGTACAGCACCAATCAATCGAAATGCGTGGAGCTCAAAGTTCCTATTTGCTGCGACAATTGCGAACGGAAATTGAGGAATGCCTTCGAATACATGGATGGTTAGTGTACATAAGCAGTTTTACCCCTCTTCTTTCTGCCCGATCTAACTCGATCGTTTTCATGTTGCAGTGTAAGGCATTTACAGAAAGGATAAGTATTAAATTGTTCACTTTTTTTCTGGTTTTTCGCAGGTGTAGAAAATGTGCTGTGTGATCAATGGAGCAGGAAGGTGATCGTCTATGGTAACGTGACGGCCGACAGCGTGCTCAAGAAGGTGAGGCGAGTGAAGAAGGCTTCCGAGTTGTGGCAACAGCCGAAGCAACTACAGCACCAGATCCGGGCATACTAAGAAGCCCCACACGGATTTCTCAACATCAACCTCTGCGCCTCGAAAGCTCCGCCGTGTACATATACATCAACAACCCACCATCTCCGCTCCCCCCCCAAAAAAACCATTATAGTTTCCACGCTCGACAGTGGACAGGCGAGTGAAGGAAGGCTTTTCTCTCTGTAGCTGCGACAAGAAGTGAGAGCAGCAGCAGGTGCAACAACACCAGCAAATAAAAAACGGATCCGGCCTCACTTTTGAAGAACCCGGAAATTCAAAAAAACTCCCACCCCGCCTCGGAAGCTCCGCCTGTGTACATGCTTTAACCCCCTCCAGCTTCTCAGCTTTGATTTCATCATATTAGGTTACGTGCTTGATGAGTTTTACACGATTTGAGGATTTTTTTGACATCATATCCAGAACTCTCATTTGTATTTTAGTTTGTTTAGGATGAGTTGTGGCCATTAGTCTGAGAGAAGAAGAAAAATAATAAAACACAACAAATCAAAAAAAATTACAAAATACAAAATACAAAAAAACTACACAACAAAAGCTGCTTCGAAAATTGTATAGTCTTCATCAATAATGGGGAGTCTCAGCAAACGCAGATAATATTGTGATTTCGTAGTTAGTTTAGAGTAGAGTTGGCACTTTAGAGCTGCCTGATATTCGACTGTTAGTAACATATAAAGTGGGCCTCCCCGCTGGCTTCATGAGGCTCACATTGAGCTACTGTTATTATTTGTTAGTTTGCACAGTTTGAGAAATAACACCAAACATCTGAAAAAATCGGAAATTACATCTTCGCTTTAGCTTCAATGGAATGTTGCTGTTTGATGACTCTTTGGGATAAATTCACTGTTCATTTACGTTTACATTCATATCAAATTTGTTGTATTATTATTGGAGGTGGATGCCATTTAATGCCTGGTTATTGTTGGATCTTAATGGTTTTCAGTCACATTTTCAGAATGACTATATATATATGTATACTATTTATTCATTTTTAACTTAAAAACTTATTAGTAGAGCATTCAGTAGGAGATAATTGCACTAATTTCTTTGCTTTTCTTTCTTTTTAATTATTTCTTTACGATTTTGGAATTCACACATTTTTGTAGAAACACCAATAAATCAATAAATATGCACTAGAATGTTTTAAAAATCAATTAAATTGCATGTTATAGCTAAAGTATCTTTTAAATGTATAATTTATGATTTAACTTATAGTCAATAGTAAAAGTTCTTTCGAATTTTATTAAATTGAATTGTAGTTTTATGCAGTTTTGAAACTGAAAAGAAAACATCTCATATCATATAAGATACTTTGCATAAGATTATTTTTTGGGTTTATATTTGTACAACTTTATAGTTAATGTGTTTAGTTTATTCTAAACTAAATATATAGTCACTTCTTATCAACATAAATGCTAACTCAAAAGGCACACTTTTAAAACAGTAGTGTAAATGAGTCATACATAATCAAGAAAAAGAAAACAAAAATATAACTTTCATTATTTTATATTATTGATCATAACCTAATTGTGTGCTGATATTATAATAAAAGTTCCCTATAATTTTTTTAAATTTTAAATATATCTAATTTTTAACAAGAGCTTGTATATAATAAAAGGTTTTAATATTAATATTTCACTAAACTTTTAACACTCACCACAATGCACACAATTATTTACTATTGTACTACACAAGTAAAACAAAATACAAGGCAACTTAACCAATTCCACAACTATTTCTTGGTTTCTATTTTTATGGATTGTGATACTAGAAATTATAAAATTACATATTTCCATTGCCAATACTATATTTGATTCAAATACACACACACACACATATATATATATATATATATATATCAATTTCAAATTTTAACTTTCAGTATTAATTAATTTAAGATGATTTTAAAATAGGATAAATAAATAAATAAATAAATATATCATCATTTAGAGCATGTATATTATATTAAAATATATATTAACATATAAATAGATATATAATACTTTATACTATGATTTTTTTTTATAAAATCATAGCATATATATTTATTGTTAATTTGAGTTGTGCACGAGAAGTTGAGAATTTATAATAATACAAATTTTTGTTCAAAACCATCTCATTTTTTTAACTAAAATTCTATACAAAAGAATTAATTTTACATAATATTTTGAAAATATTTATAAAATAAATTTGAGATAAACAAAATTTATGCTTAAACAAAATACTACATCACTTTTTGAATGTTTTTGCTAATAATATGCTTACTGGTAAGGAAATGTTTATATATATATATATATATATATATATATATGCATACACACATTAATAACAAAATTTTGGGAAAAAAATAAATATATTAATTTTTTTAAAATTGAAATTTATAAAAATTGAAATTTACTAATTTTATTTTAATATAGAAAAAATATCTATCCTTTATCCTACATTAAAATATGTATTTTAATTGCACCCAAAAAATTAAACTAAAAAATCGAATATTCATAAATTAATTAATTTTTTAACAGATTAATTAAGTATGTCCAGTATAACAAAAAAACAAAAAATAAATAAATCTTCTAACAAACATACTCAAAATAAATCTAAAATTTATAAAATCTCATACTGTAGAATTTTATTTTGAAATATATATATATATATATATATATATATATAATCTTTAAATATAGACTTGTTAAAGCCACATCTCAACTTTGTTAAAGCCACACTTCTCAAACCATGTAATAATTCATTTAGTCATATCTCATTCTACCCTTATACTCTATCATCATCTTCCATGAGGCAGCCCATCCTTGATGTCAAACCATCTCATTTGCCCTAGACGCTATCTGAAAGTGTGGAGGGTAGCCCCGTTGAGATTGTTCAAGATTGTAGAGGGCTTGTTGAGGTTGGGGCTGAATTTTGGATTGCTTGCTACTCTTATATCGACCAAACCTAAATTATGCTTTGTAGTTAATGGTTTCAAAACAAGTCCTACATGTGCATATAGTTTATTTTTTGTCATATATTTAGCAATTCATAAGCTAATGTAAGTATGTTTTGCACATTTTAGGTTTTGCTCAAATAAGAAGAGTCAATTATATTTGCTAGAGAATACCAAAGAATTTGTCAAATTACATCATTCCGAGGAAGAAGATTTGCTGGTCGTTTACAATATCCAACAAGGGAATTATATAACCTCACTCAAAGAGTATCAATCCATTCATCTTGTTAGCTCTTTAGTAATTTTTATAGAACAATAAAGCCAATTTATTAGCACTAAAATTGCTACAAGTCAGTGACTTGATACTATTTTTGGATATTAGGTCTTTAGACCACAAAAAAAAGTTCACTCAAAAAGCAAGGGAGCATGAATGTCACAGCAAATAAATATCACAATCCTAATTTGCAAGTAGCACGTGACAATGTGCCATTGAACAGGTGTGCCTTTTGCTACAGTGATCTGATTTTGAATCATCATGTAATAAGCATTAGTTCTTGACACATGTTTTCATCATGCATTATTTCTTAGGGTTTAGTTACATGCATAGAGCTGGTTAATCAAAAATCACAAGCTTGAATTACCCAGATAGCAAGACAAAATTTCAAAGAGGTACTAAATTCGTTTGGGAATTGCTTACAAACAATATACAACACAAGAAGGATGTTGGAAGTGGATGCCGAGTCCATCTGTGCTCACATGTACAAGGCAAAATGGGAACAAAGAAGGAAGCTTTACGAAGCTGCAGATTCAATCAAGAATGTTATGGAATTTGTGCTTCAAAATTCTCTAACTAAGATTGAAGCCACTCTCCTGGACTCTTCAGATTCCAATGAAGTACCTAAGCATGAAGATGAAGTTATTCAGCTTGAGAGGTATCATCTACAGAAACTTGTCGTCAAAGACGAGGACTTGTTGTGGTGCGACTGTGTATGTGTTCACATGAAGGACAAAATGGACAGCACTCTTTGGCATAAATTGCCACCAACTATATTAGAATTGGTGTTTGTGCGGCTAATTCTCCATCAAATTTTCAAGTGGTTGCTAGAATCATGTGGTTGATACCAGACGCTTTGAAACGTAGCCGAGGTAATTGAAGATGGCTAGTGCTTCAAGAGAACATGCAACTAGTTCTTAAGATAATATACTGGATTTGAAGCTAGTATGGTGATTATGCACCCATAGCAATCAATCGATTCCTTTTTATAAAGGTTTCAGGAGAGCTGATATCTCAGTAAAATACCTTTTTTCTGTTTTTTTCATGCATGTAAGTGGGATTATCAACACTGAATACAAGCAGTTTGGATTCTCTACATGGATGTATTCAAACATCCATGACATTTCATTGTTCTTTGGTTCAGAATGCTTGGATATGTGTCAGTGAGCCACGAGCACTTACTCAAGTTTGCGTGTCATTTGATTTTCAAGACTCTGGATCCTCAATGGAATAGCAGCTTTTTTTCACCAAGTAGAAACTAGTTCCACCCCAACACAAGAAGAAAGAGAATAAATTACTCATTTGGTGAAACACACTTCTATTGCTGTACAAACAATTATAGACCTCCCAATTCGTGACCTGCATCTAATTGTGGATCCTTCAAAAAATACTACACAGTATTCATGTGTAGAAAATTACAATTGATTGCAATTTAATGCACTAGAGAGATGTCCTCTATAATGTTGGTTATTAGGCTTGTTTGGAGCATAATATTGTGGTAATGTCAATTCTAATAAATTTGATTGTATTTTTACTTATTGATCAAGATCCAATTTAGGATATACATCACCCATCTGATTAAGTAATGCTTTAATTACTTGAACATTTTATTAGATAATGTAGCTAGAAGATAGTAGCAGAGACAAAAAAGGTCAAGATGCCATTGTTGATGGAAATCACCTAGTTGTAGAAGACTATTGGTTGCAAGACATTCATATAATAGGTGTTTGCATGAAATATCAAAATTAGTAGTAAATTGTCCCATATACTTCTCTTGTTCTCTTGGTGCCTCAACAAATGCACACACTTTCAGTAGTGCAAAACAAGAATTCTTATAAATCACTTGGTCATAGAAATGTCTACTCAAATCAATTCAAGTTTGGACTTTCTTATCTCCAATTTTTTCTTAAAGCTCTCTTTCTTAATACTCCGCATATGTTATAATCTTGTACTGAACATCATAAAAGTCTATTGTAGATATTTAAAGCCACTTCTTCAAAGTAGCATGGCTTCCATCCATCCTCAACATGTTTCTAAAATAGAGGCATTGTGAGGACCAAGCACCAATAAATCTCTCCTTTCAAGACAACTAAGTTATTGTTATGTAACTAATAACAATAGAAAATCTGATATAATCTTGCTTAAGTATTTTCCAATTGAATTTAAAAAGATCAATTGTACAATCATCCATAATCTGATTCCAAAACTATATGAAGTTTGTCCATTCATCTACAAAAAAAAATTGCTTACAATTTATAAAAATGTACTTGTTGATATACAAAACACAAAAAAGATTAGTTGACATATGAAAAACTTTTTCTATTACAAACATCATTGCTAGTTCTCTACCAATCACCAATGTAAGTAGTGTCACTCCATCATCAAATAGTGATTTAACTCTTTTTAATATCCAAACATAGTTTGCCTCTTTTTCTTCCATCAAAAATACAAAACATGATGAAAAAGTGGAATTCAAGGAAGTCACACCTATAATATAGAGTGGCATTTGGAATTTGTTAGTCTTGTATATACAATCTAGTAAGATAACATAAGGATACTTTTGTGTAAGTTCCATTGAAAGAGGATGACTAAAAAATAATTGAGTAATGGTAGTACTTTCATCACAACAATAATTGTATTAAAATTCTAACCCCTTCAATTTGTCTAGCAAAGCTGCAACAAAGGTACATCCTTACAGCAACTGACTTTGCATGGCTCTTTGGTGATTATAAATGGTTAAAGTTGTTGCAATGATTCTAAGCTCTTGTTGCCAAATAGGAATTAAAACTATTGCAAATTTAGTCTCTATAAAGAATAGTTGTTGCACTTGTTGTTACATCCCAAAAGACAAGCGTCTTGCAATACAATGTTCAAACAAGATGGATGATTGTGAGTAGAATTTTAAACAATAAGTTGCCAAAGGCTAGATTTACACTACTTAGCATATAAATCAAATAGACAATTGCAAAGGCATGTGTATTGGCATCTTTGCTTGGTTGTTGACTTATTAATATGTTGGTCACTATGATCACACTTCAACCAAACTTAAGTATTATCAACTAATTGTCTTTTCACCACTACATAGCCTTGGGAAAAGACAAATGATTGAACACTTTTGAGAAGGTTGTCCAATATAGGATACTCGCATTTGGATAGAAGAAGCATTACAAATAAAGATCTTCAATGTTTTTTAGATCAAAATCTATAAAATTATTATCATAAATGAAAATTATTACAATAGTAAGGCATGCATACAAAAAAAAACATCAAGTCTAATTGGTCAATCCAAAAGCAGACATTATAGTATATAGACTAAGCTTATATTTCAATCACAAGAGATTTAAAAAGTACAAAGCATATCCAAACATATGAGAATTATGAGTACCAAAATAATGGCAATTTTGCAAATAAATACAAGTGGCAATGAATTGACAACAAATTAAGAAAAAAAAAAAAAAAAAAAAAAAAAAAAAAATCTTCACCTCTATTGGGAAACATATAAGTGATATAGTAGCACTTCTAACAATCCATGCTCTCTATTACAATGCAAATATTACATTGATTAGTAGACATTTGAGCCCCAAGTTATGGATTGATAAATGAATTCAATATCCTCATTGTTACAAAATAAAACAAACATTTGTATACAACATTAAAACAAAAAATATATAAAGATTTAAACTTTAACATAGTACAAAATAAGTTTTTTGCACTACAAATTCTATAATAAGGCAATCATAAGCAATCTACCTAAAATAATTAAATATATAAATATATATTTTTTAATTTCTACCAACATCTTTTATTGAAAATTTATTAATAATATATTTTCTAAAATCCTAATTCAACTCTAAAATATTAAAATTATATCAAAATGCAATGCATGCAATAGAATTGTATTAATTTTCAAGTTAACATTAGCATGAATTACATACAGATAAAATCCACGTCTTCCAAATGCTATATATATATATATATATATATACTTTCATAAACAACTACTTTGCAATGTTAAGCATCATAATTAAAATACATGTTTCTAAAAATATTATGGGGTTTTGAATACATCCTAAATTGCTTTGGAAATATGCACAAATTACTCAAAAAAGAATAATAATAATAATAAATAAATAAATAATCCAAATTGAAATTCGTATGCAAGAGCATGATGGCAGAGATGCTATATTCAAGGTACAAAAGAAGAAGGGCATGGTGGATAATACACACTACGGCTAAGATTCAAGAACAGAGTTCTTGTCCTTTGTTTAGTTTCTTTAGCTCTTTTCACAACCTAATTCTTGGTTTTCTAAAAGCCAAGTTTAACATTAAGCTTATAAAGATATTATTACATTACATAAATGATAAAAATAACGTTTTCATGAAAATCTAAATCAAATATTGCATTGTTGAATTTAAGATAAAGTATGACATATTAATACTAAATTTTGTATTAAGGTATAAGCTTTCCATTTTAAAAAGGTATAGTAAATTAATCTAAAATCCAACTATAAAGATATTATAATATTACAGTTGTTTACTATAAATATAAGGAGCGGATACTATGTAGGTCATTTTTCACTTGAGTAAATACAATCTCAAATCCTGAATCTTAATCCTATTAATATTCGCTCATGTGCACATGAAGCATATCAACTATATCACGTGATCAAAACAGGTCTTTGTCCACTTCATTACCGTATCTTTCATTGCTGGTCTATTTGAAGCTGCAGATTAAATTGCCAGGTCTAGAGCAGAGCAAGTTGCACAGGCCCCAGTACACAGGGAGATTCATCTCTAGGCAGACTGACTGCTAATGCTGCTCTGTTTCTCCATAGATCAGATCAGCAAGATCCCACACCAACAGTCGCCCGAACTAGAACCTTTCGCAGTTGCATGCGACGCTCTGCTGAGGAACAGCTTCCGGAGAAACCCAATCAACAACAAACCCCAAACTTGCTCAAATTACTTCGTTCATTAAAAATAAATCTCCAATGCGGTACAAGATGTCTATTCAAACAAAGAAGCAGAGTAGCTTGAGGAGCCTCACATTGCAACTGCAATGGATTACTTATCACTACAAGGTGTACAATAATCATTTCAATAGTTAAAAGCACATAGAGGCTGTTCAAGCCTAACCAATTCACAAGTCAAAATCGTGCACAGTACACACGTCTTGCAGGAGAGCAGTACCACTTCGGTGTAAAGAAAGCGAGGTCGCAAATGTCACCGCATGGAAAGGCCAACATCGCAGACTGGACTAAACTAATAAAAACGAGCTCTGTGTTTTTGTGTACAAATCATTACCCTCTTTCAACATATCCTTGGCGTCCGTGTCCATACCCAGCCTTGTGAGGGCGGCAGCTTGCATGTAAAATGCTGTCGGCCATTCTGGGTGAACATACTGGGCCTGCATTGCATCACGAAGTGCTGCCTCTGCTTGGTCACTCAGCAGATAAGCCAAACTACGACGTGCAAATACAGTCGGTGAAATCATTGTTCCTACATCAACAAACTGAAGTGAATACGATGTTAGTACCTGATCTCAGAGGGAAGGCCTTCGTGTGATAAATCATTTTAAAATAGTAATGTTTTAAGTTGCATTTTAAGATGAAAATCTACTTAGAAATAATAACCCTCAAGTTTATTGTTGACAACTTTTTTGCGGTGATCCAACATAAGTAGTCAGCTCAGTGACACCCTTGACCAACCAAAAGACGAACCCTCACCGTCTGTGAACCCAGTAAGAAAAATAAGCAAAATAGTGAAGAAATGTACCTGCGTGTAGCAGTCAATAGCTGTTCTAAAATCCTTCTCTCGAAACGCCATGTCTCCACGTTTCCTTGAATTGAGCATGTCTTGCATCTGTTTTGTCCAGACTTGGAAAGACAACTGCACATACAACACATAATTTGCTTACTGTTCCTCAAAGCGAAAACTGCTCCACTAAAATGGATAGACGAGCTAAACCAAATTGCCTGCAGCTGCGTAATGCAATCCAGTAATACTTAGGTCCTCTTGAGAAACAAATGTGCACACAACATTCCTAAGCTTAATTTATCATTTCACAGCAATTAAATTAGAAAGATAAATGCATACCTCATTATCGGTGCCTTCGTCATCCTTATATCCTGTTTTGACCAGAATCTCATGCACTGCTGTAAGATCATTGCGAGAGCAGGCTTCTCCCAGCGGTGACACCGGAACATCTGTTGGTGGCATGTTTGGTCCTCGGGCAATTCCCATCAGTGTGGACGAGGGAATTAACTGCATTGACGATTAAAGACATCCCCTTAAGCTCACGAAAATAATGCTACAGCATGTTATAACACTACTTTGCCACATTCCGGGACAAGGCTTTAATACCCATGGTTCGAGTAACCACCTACACCTGCTCAACACCCTCCATTCAGAGAATCCAGAGCACCACACATCCAAGATGACAAAGATGCATAAATCTGCACGCCCATTGTAAATGATGAACACAAGCGTACCGATTCACACTGCTGGCCTAAATCAAGCAGACTTCAAACTTCAGAACTCAGGAGAGACGGTGTACAAATAAAATTAAAAATCCTTGGGAACCGTGAGGCTGGAACGAAACCATTGCAACGACGTATTGCAGCCAGAGCCTCAATAGGGTCACCACTACTCAAAAAGCGTCAAAATCTGGGACGCGTACCTTCCAAAGCAGCAAATGTTCAAAGTGGACTGAGTCTTGGCCCATCTATGGCAACATTTGGCTTTTGCAAGTGCATGTCCCAATTTATAAAATGAGACCCCATTCCGCAAGCCTGATAAAGAAAAAATGTCCCTATTCTTTGTGTCTAATTCAGGGCCCAGCCTGCTATTGATTAAGAGATACTAATCGTCCAACTACCTCTGTTCTCCGCTGAAGTGGGGTAAGGGCGGTCACAAGCATCTTTGCATTCGGTCGCTCGCGTGGTTCAAGTTGCAAACATCGCGACGCAAGACGAACAAGCTCGACACCATCCTCGTTCGTAAATTGTCCGTCCAAGTAGGAGTCCATCAGCAAAAGCATGTTTTTCCCACGTATCAAATCCAGCGCCTGCAGTCGGTTAATCAAGTCAGCCATGTACCTCGAAACTACACAAGTATCCAATCAACGGATATTCCAGTACAATTTGTTTGGTTCACGGTTTTCGAATCAAGCACGATATTCCAACGTAAGGTGGACAAGTTGCACTCACATGGCTCGGAGGAATATGCTTGCCACTCAGTAAATCGAGTAATACAGTTCCATAGCTGTAGATTACACTTTCTGGAGTCACCCTCCCTGGATTCATAAACAAGCGACGAATTGATGAGTTGGGACTTCTAAGTTGGTTAATGACCCCGCATGAAGGCAGACTGTGCATCAAACGCAAACCTCACTCATCCCATATCGCATCAGACAGTCAGAAGAAGGCAATTAGATAAGAGGCCACAAAGAAGCTCTACTCTACCTGTTCTATCACTTCAAAGAGAACAAGACCAAAGCACAAGCATTCAAATGATTAATGCTCACCTGTGCGTAAATACTCAGGTGGTGTATATGCAAGGTTGGTGCTGTAACTCTTGCCATCTCTGCTGTTCTTCATCAGACCAAAACAAGATAGCCGAGGATTTCCATCCTGGAGATATTACCTTGTGCAAATTAACAACTTCGAAGCGTCTGGTGCTAAAACAAAGTGATGAAACAGAGACACCAACACCGGAGAACATTCTACTCAAAGATAAGGCATAGAATCGTTCTTCCACTCAATCATTGTCATGTTAACCAAATGATGACTTTTGAGAGGCATAATGAGGCTTGCTAGAATTCTTCAAACATGCAGGATATACTCACAAGTACTTTCACAGGAAGAGCACAATACCTGGTCAAACATCACCCGGTAAGCGTTCAGATCATGATAAAGGCGAAGGTTGTTATTCGAACAGTGATCAAGCGCCTGCGCCACGTAAAGAGCAACACGCACTCGCATGCCCCACGACATTGGCTGCTTATCCCCTGCAGTACATGCCAAATTGTACTGTTCATTAAAGACAACCTAGTCACATGGCTCTCTCAACACTGAAACCCACACTCAAAAAACGTAATTCAATGCTAATGTTAACCTAAACTTGATGACTCTAAACAATTAATTAAATTTAAATTTAATTTAATTTGAGGATTAAGACAACAATTACTTAGTGTAAAAAAACTATAATTTATTAAAATAAAGTAAAGAAAACCACCGCCATTTTACTAGTACATCACTCATGTTAATGCCAGCATGCACTCGAGTTCTTTGTACACATGAAACAGTCGAATATTCCGCACATAATGACATTAATTGTACAAAAACGAAGTTTCACACTCTGAAGTTTGGACATTACTCAACCCGAAGATCAACAAACAATCATTTTGTCATTCTTGACACTTTGCTGGCTTCCAAGACAGATGAATAGTACAGCCTACTTACAATGAAAGAGATGTTTCGCAAGTGTGTCGTGAGGCATGTACTCCGCAACTAAGAGCCTCTCATTGCCCTCAACACAATATCCAATCAAGTTCACAAGTCTCTCATGCCTTACTTGACCCACCTTCCAAGCCTCATCCTGTAACCAACAAGAACAAGCATCGAGAAACATTTACTAACCCCGAGATACAACAGACGTTCCATTCAACAAACATAACAAAAAAGTTATCATGTTTACTAAAGAGCAACAATATTCTATCAGATGAACACCAAGCCCGTAAATCCAAAAACAAAAAGTCAGAAAGCAGAAAAAAGACAAAAACAAAACAAAACAAAACATAAATTCTTAAGGGAATTTCAAGTCCATGTTATGAACATGTGGGTCGTGCAGGTTACAGGTGGTGGAGCAAAACCACTAGCATCTTAAACATCTATTTTAAACTTACACCGAAAAGAGGAGCCAGAAAGATTAGCAAACCTAGTATTAAACTCCAAGTATCTTCCAGGCAGGATGAACAAGGGGTTTCAAGACTTGTATTCATAGAACAAGCATATGGAACAGACAAACGAAGAATGAAAAAAGTAACATATTACCGAGAAGCCCTTTGCATCAGGCCATGCAGTCCTAGGAAAGCGCTTCACAGCGATTATGCGATTTTGGCCGAGCTTGCCTCTGTACACAAAGTTTGGTGCTTTCTCCCCACTCTCCGAGACAATGAGCTCTGCGCTAAAACCCCTAGTAGCTGCTTTCAACGTTTCCAACGTGTACTCCTTAAACGTTGGAACAGCTTCTGGTTCACCTCGTTTCTCATTATCTGCATGCCACCACAAGTTAACCTGCTAGTCATTCCTGCTAACGATCAAGTGTTCCAGCAATTGTTGTGAGACTCAATGTACTCAAAATATCCAATAGAAAACACTTCTAAAACAACGAATCAAAAATAGCACCATAGTATCAGAACACGCTACTATGCAGAGATTCTTGAATGAGCTCTAAATACGTCCAAGTGTCAGACAATTAGGGACCCAAATCGAAATTAATGAGGAGACAATTGATCAAGAGAATAGAGAAATGACTGCACGATTTGAATATCCAAACAGCACACAAAACAACCCACTGAAGACAACCGTCAACCTAATTAAATCAACAAATAAACTCGAAACAAGAAGCAACACAAACTAATTCGTGTTCCCCCATAAACAGGTCTTGGATCTACTCTAAAACAGTGGTAGCCTTCAGTAAAAAATTCATGTGGCATTTCAAACAAGCTCAAGACATTACATTCTCATACAGAAAGTTCTAGCCAAGACGATCCAACACGTTGCAAGCAGGCGAGAACAGAACCAACTGATGACCATTACCCACCCAATGGCTAATCTTCGTCGACCTCAGTGCGCGCCAATCAGCACAGGAGCAAAAGACGTGCAGCGCAAAATATATTGTCCAATAATCAAGGCTAGTCAACATAACGAACTCTTTGGACAAGGTGCGCTAGTTTTAGAGTTTTTGAGAAGAGAACACGTCTTTGGTTCAGGTGTTGACACAACAAAATAATAGACTCCTATGTAGCATTCCTGAACCTTGAAACATAGTACTGAGTGTATCCCTTGCGAGACTAACTTGACGAAGAAACAACACAGGCAGACATGGCATAAAACCGATGCGAACTGCTAAGGCCACTACTGTGCTAAAGGGACAACTCTTTTTTCGAAATTGATGCATAAGTCATGAGGCGAAACAAACCTAAATCCACTTTCTCAGGATTAAAGACATCCTGACTGGCTCGGTGCGAGTCCCTGGGCTTCGAACTGAAGCAGCCCATCCCTCCACCTCTAAAACCGCAAAGCACGCCAGCCCTTCGTGCACCGTCCTCAATCTGCCATTACCGATACCAATCCGGCTCCACCACCTCCTCCTGGGCACTACCCCGACTCTGCACATAAGCTGCCGAATCTTCTCCCAATTCATCCCACCCGACAAACACCACGGCGATTGCCGAAATTACAACCCAGTAACCCCCAACCTATCAAACTCCTAGCAGTACGATACGACTCGGTGCTCAAAATTCGCCGGAATCTATTGCTAGGAGCATTCTTGATCAAAAGCACGACTGCAGCATGGCGAAAATACTTAAGATTGGTCAACGTTCGTCACCCTCCCAGACCAAAAGAAACGGACTCACCGAAACTTCCGTGATCCTCCACGACTCGCACGATCCGAGTCCACTCTCAAGAGTCCTCGGATTCCGTCTTTCTCGCTCTCTTGCTCTTTCGTTCTGTCTCTCACGCAAATAACAAAACCCAGACAACGTCAACCCTGATCACTCGATCGCAACGAAACCTCCCAACACCTCCCTGGAGAGTTGTTCAATGTAACGAACTTCAAGCAAACAAGCGAAAAAATGAACAAAACAAGCCTCGGCCACTGCGGCACCCTACACTATCCCCACCTCTCCCGTTCTCACCCCCCGTTCTCACCCCCCTTCTCTCTCCTCTCGGCAAACAACCAGACTAATCTGCGAGAACCTCACCCCCTCACTCTGAACTGCGTGGAGGAAACCAACTTGTGCGCCTAAACTGGGTAATGAATGATCCACCTCAGAGGGCTGTCAGCACCCCCAGCTAAAAAAACAAAAAACAATTTATATACATATATATATATATATATATATATGTATATAATGTTTTTGTAAAACAAATGGGAAAACAAATAAACAATTAAAATAAAATAAAACGGGCGTGATCACGAGGGCGAGGAACCCCACCCGCAACGCGCAAGCCGCTGGCTATCAGCGCGCGTGAGACCGTGGCCAACGCGGACAATGGCACTCCTCCTCAGATCTCTCTCTCTCTCTCCCCTCGGAATCGTATCATTCCCCACTCCTACACACATCCGTCCCTTGCCTGCCTGCCAGCCCCCCCCTACTCCTCCTCCATGCGCACCTTCTCAGTTGTCCCTCATCCTCCTCCTCCTCCGCTCCCTCCGCAGTCGATTTCATCAATGAACAGGAAACAACGGACAGCTGCGCCCTTCATTCTAATTACTGCGGCTCATGGTCCGCGTTATCTCAAAGTGATTTTCTCCCATTTACAAATATCCCCCCCCCCTCCCTCTAGTGTTCATACTTGAGAGTTATCAGGGTAACGTCCAAACTTGTTGTCAGAACACCAAAAGTAATGGAGTGAGCAACCAATAGGATGGAATGTGAAATTTAGTGCATGGATCCTTCAAACAGAGGTCATTGGAACAGTCCCACCAGGTAGAGTAAGAAGAAGAAGAAGAAGACATGGCAAAGGCAATGGATGCTAGGAAGAGACAAAGGAGAAAACTAACGAAGGGAGAGTAGTTGGAGTTGTTGCAGTAGTCGCAGCAGTAGTAGTAGTTGTAGGGATGGTGAGATGCGCATGCATGCATGGATGCATATCTCTTCTTCTTCATCATCCTCCCTCCATCCTCGCCCCAACTGGACAGAGAGAGAGAGAGAGAGAGGTGCAACATCAAGCCATTCTGCAAAACGGAAGACGCAGCGCCTGACTGCAGGGTAGGGGCAGGGTAGGGCAGGGCACAGAACAGTGGGACTGGGCCCTACTGGTCCCACACGTGCTGCCCATCGCCTCCTTCGGGGTCGCATATCACTCCCTCGCCACGTTGGCTCAGTAACTCCGCGCTCCCTCCCCTCGGCTTCATTGCTACAGCTGCTGCTGCCTGCAAACGCGCCGGCTACGGCAAAACAAACCTCCAGGACGCCATCGCGCCACTCCACACTACAGCTTGCATAAGAGCGCGGGAGAGGGCGAGGGCGGGGACGGGGACGGGACGGGGAGGGCCGGCACACCTTCCCTCCCTCTCCCTTTGTAGCGGTGATATTGGCGGCGTCGTCGTCCTCTGCCCGCTCTCTCTCTGTCTGTAGCTTGGACTGATGCCATGCTAGTGGTGGCTGGTAGCCTGGTAGGTCTGTTGATAGGTTTTGCGACCTACAAGGATTTGAGTAGGTTGTATGCGGCATCCATGCCCGTTGTATGGAGATTCGAGCGAAGTTCCTTGGGAGAGTCTCCAGCGAAGATTTGGTTTTCAAATAAATTATATTTTCTTATTTTCATATTTGTAGAGTATTGTGAATGAAATCATTTTTTGTTAAAATGGACATGATTTTCATAAGTGTGGCCTTAATGAACCCACAAATTGAATGTTGAGAATCAAGTGTGAAGTGATTAAGAATGGCATGCCACTTCAATTTGTGTGTTTCTTTTTTGTTTGTAAACAAACTTTGTTGTGAATAGACACATTTGTGATACCCAAGTTAGGGTTTTGGCTTTTGTAGAAAAATGGACTTGGCAGTAACATTTTGTATTGGATAATTGACTATTAACTCTAGAATCCCAATGCTGTTCATTGGGAATTGTGAGCAGGTGGCAGCATATGGATTATGTGGTGACAAATAGAGCATGATGCCAGCCACACCAAGTCTCCTCACTGATTTTCAGTTGAGATTCTTCTGGGGCTTGGAGCTGACCCACAAAATTACCCCATAGATTTTGTGTCTTTGTGGTATTAGTTACCATTTGTTCACCTATATATGTGTGCTTTATTTGAAGAAGCTCTTCATGCATTGTCTGTGAGGCCAAAAGCCTCAGCTTCCACTTTGAGATTGCAAGGGCAAGACTTTTTTGCCACCCTAAAAGTGAGCTATCTCAAGCCACTCTGCTTAAAAAAGTTGAGGTGCTTTTTCATCCTTTATAGGATGCTTTTATTAGTGGTGTTGTGCATAGTTGACAATTTCAAATTTACATTGCTTGTTGTTGTACTTAAAAACCTTCATTCTTTCTTATTATTTTTATTGTTTCATGTGTCCAGTGAGCTTATTCTATCATACAAAGTTCTATGTGACTATGTGCAAACTATCACCTATCCAACTGCAGATGCTGCCCCCTTTTGGCATTATCATATACACTGTTTCATTGTTTGTTTGTTTCTGTTCTATTTTATTCTTTTTCTTTTTTCATTGTGCCTCGTAGGCATTTGTTGTTTTGTTTTGTTTTACTTGGTATGTGTATCTTGTACCCCATTGGGAAGCTGACACACAAAATCAATCTGTGGGTTGTCTTCATCTGCATGGGAATGAACAAGAACTCTTGGCTCCTAGAAAAATAAGGTAAAATATAAAGTATATATACACACATATATGTATTCATATAATTGATACTAATTGCTTTCTTTAACACAAAGTGTCTAGAACAGGGCAAGAAGAAAAATGAAACTGCAAACATTATTTTTACATGCTATACACAAGAATGGATTCTATTTCATGCTCCAATATAAATGTCACAATGACAGGAACTAGCATATTTGCTGTATCATACTTTTCATGTATAGTTTTCAAACCAATCTAAATCATGTATCATTTATCATGTACAGACTTATTCATCACAATCAAGTATATTGTTGTATGAGATCTGCAGATGCATTGACAAATACACACACACACACACACATATATATATATATATATATATATTTTATCATACAATGAAAAAACATTTAGTACAGAAAAGCAGTATGTCTTAATTGCAAGAATTGGAGATGATATCATGCGTAAAACACACCAGATGCACAACTGGAAAGTCATGTCTTGAGAAATATTCATAACACACAAAGTATTTTTCTAATTATAGAACATGTATAAATAACACTTCTTACTTTTTTGGCTATTAATCCATCACAAAGAGGAACTAAAGGAGCAATTTTGTATTTGTTCATGAAGAAGTGTTACCCAAAACTATTTTAAGGGATAATTTTCTACAAGCTCGGTCAGCAAGCTCGGTCAGCATGGGTCCCACATTATCGGGCAGCCCAAGAAAACACAAACCACGTCGGACCAACGTAACTTTAACTGGGTAGGGCCAGGTCAGTGTCCAGTTCGAAAAGTTGGGGGACTGGGCACTGCTACCCGCTGCCCAGCTAAAATTTGAAAGCAGAGAATTTAAAATCAGAAAAGGGCCGTGGGGGGGGCATCATAAGAATGAGGCGGGGGCGGCGAGAGCGGGGAGGAGCCAAGAAAGTGGTTCATTTCGCGATCATCTCTAGGGATGTACCGACGACATAGACTTACAGAGGGGAAGGGGGGGAGCCTCACTGGCAGGGGCGATTCCGTGACCGTCCCGTCGCCATCAGTGGTGGTCAGGCTCCATGTCCCATTTCCGTGTCAATCAAATGACGGGTGGCCAGCTGGGTGATTAGCCAGCCCAACTCGGATTCTCCCCTCCCCCTTTTCCTTCATACCCCCTTACTTCCTACCCACCCCCTTCCTGGCCCTGCTGGTCCTGCTGGCCCTGTTACCGCGTGGTGATTTCGCCACAGTGGAAAATAAGTAAAATTCCACTCACTTGCTCTCTCGCTCTTTCAGGGTTCTCTCTTTTTCTTTTGTTGCTTTTCGAACGAGTTTCATGAAAGTAAAAGTAAGATGGTGTTATTACCATGACGCCATTCCGTTATTGTAATATATATATGTATACATTTATTAAATTGACCCATGCATTTACTAAATCAACCCATCAATAAAAAAAAATTCCTATATAATAATAATAATAATAATAACAATAACTATTCAATCTAATTTATCACATTCTTGTTTTTGTAGTAATTTTTTTGTAACAATAGTTTGTAGGTAAGGATCTTCATCTCAAAGTGATTCATGATATTCTAATCTTGTAGCATATATACAAAATTTAATAGATTTTAGATTCAATATATATATACATCAATTAAAAAATATCATACAACAAAAATCCAAATAGTATAGTATTTTTATTTTATTTTATTATATTTGTATATAAATATACACACATTCTTACCAATATGAAATATATATATATATATATATATATATATATATATACGCTTTTAGAGTTTGAACTTAAGAGATTATATTTACTTCGTAAAATCACTAATTAATTACATTAGTTTTATTTATATTTGGAAATAGAAACAAAATATTTAAAAGATAAATTTCTATTTGAAAGTAGCTTGTAGTTTAATCATTTAAAAGATATATATATATATATATATATATATATATATATTATATATAGCTAAAAGTATTTTATATCAATAATAATAAAAACATATATTTAAACTTATACTAACAAATAATATGAATACACAAGTTCAAAGTTCAAAACATTTGTTTTTATCAGATCTAAATTTATGTGGACAGTTTATTTTATAACATCCAATTACAAACTTGCCTACATGTCTACTGTAGGTTTCAATTTTCTTAGTAGTTTTATCTTGCAATTTTCTATCTTTGCTAATTATGTACATAATTTATATTATTCTCTTCTAGGCCTAAGATAGAACTTTAAAATATAACTTTTTTCTGTTAATATTATTACTTAATTAGAATAAATTGACTTCTATATGTAATAGGAATGCTTTTGATCTAGTTAATTGCTAATCTAATTGAAATTTAGTGAAATCAATTGGCATTCAATAATAATCTATCATTAAACTTATTTGGTAAAGAAATATTGGTCTTTTTAAAACTATCATATTTAAAAGATCAACTATGATTTAAGACTTCTACCTCTACATCTTACTATAATTTTAAAAAACTTATTTAACCTCTAAAAATTGCATCATTAAATTTAAAACCTACATTTTGAATTTAGATTGTTTCACTCCTTTTTTTGTGATTTTATTCTTGTTTCTGTAAATATTATATTTTGCACTGTTATTAATAAAGTAAATTTTTTATTTAATTATAGAGATGTAATAGCTTACACACACACACACACACACACACACATATATATATATATATATATATATAAACATATTTATAAATTAAAATTTAATATATAATTATAAATAATGCTGTGATGGTAGATAGATTTCAAAACCTACTTAAATTTACTAAAATCAATTCCAAACACATTTCAAAACTAATAATAATTTTAAAATTGTGAGGATACAGAATATTAGTGATATTTAAACCAATTGCTATCTTAGGTGTATCTAAAATACATAATGATTGTAAAAATCTTTATTACCACATGTGCTATGTTATAAAATTCTAAAATAACTTATTTTAGTAATATGATATATACACACACATATATATATATATATATATATATATATATGAATTTTTGTTAAAGGTTAGCATTAAAGATATTTATTGAGTATCTTAGATGTATTTTTGAAACTTTTAAAAATCTTTCAGAACTGTACAAAACTTTTAAAATGGCAATTGTACTTTAACTTCACTCATAGATATTCACTTATATATCTTCAACCATCATGTATTTTTTTTTTATTTTCATTCTTTTTTCTGATTGAATTTTAAGTTAGATAAGAAATCAAAACAGGTACTGATCCCTATTAATGTAGCAAATCCAAGCAACATCAATGGTATGAGGCTTCATGATTTCTATTTGAACACGTCCATTGTTATTAAGCACCCGAAATACAGCTGCAAAACCAAATTCAACCCACAGTTCGTTAATAATCCACCAAGATGCTAGTGTTAAACAAATGTTTTTATTCACTTATTCCTTTATTCCTTTTTCACACCAATTTCTCTAATGTTTGTATTGATATCATTTATTTGATGCACATTCTCATTCTTAATGCAAGGTGTAAAAACCAACAACCCATAACCAACTTAATTTTAAAAAATCACAATTTAAATCACGGTATAAGCTGCTGTAGCTTCTTCATGTGACACACCTCTTGCACAATCGAATCAGAATAGACATTCATCATTGCTGAGTAATCTGATCAACACGCTTGTTGGTTTGATGGGGAGGTTTGCCTGTTACCAAAACTCATGTTTCTCATGTGAGAAGAAATCATGCTTATCCACTCTTCTTCTGACTAGTCTCAAAAAAGTTTAATGAAAAAAACTAATGACAAAAACATAAGTTAACTGATAGACACTTATAAATACTTGCAATGGAATTTAACCCTAGTTTCTGCATTTGATGTGACAAGTCCTGGAACATTTAGTGACTGATGGTAGCACTCTTCATCATCAAAGCAAAACTCAAGATATGGTGCCACAACACCACCAAAATGCTAGAGAATCGATCAGTCTGCTAACCCAGAAAAGAGAGAGAGAGAGAGAGAGAATCAGATAGAAGCAGAGAAATCTTACATTCTGAAACACATTGCAACGTCCAGGAATTGTCGTAAAGATACAGCTCTACGTCGGGGCCATACTCGATGGGCTCCTCTCCCTCTTTGTATGCTTGGATACATACAACTGGCTTGGAGTCATTGGGAATCAGCTTATTGAACCTCTCCACTGCGAAACCTGCTCGTGTTCCAACTGCAAACCGCTTCTTCTTCCCATCTGGACCAACCACTGCTACAAACTGTAACACCCACACAAAGATTAAACATCTTCCAGCAGCTGAAGATTCAAACAAAAATCTAAACAATCTCCATACAACACAACAACTCCAGAAACATAACCACCAGGCTATTAGATAACGTCATTTAGGGTTTGCTTCAAAATCATATGCAAACGTACTACGAAACCAAGCAGGGGCACTTCAAAAACGTCATACATTAAATATTTCTCTGAAAAAGAGGGTTTTCTCCACAAGAAAGTGGCATGCTCCAGAGACAATGAACAGATATCAATAACTACTAAAAAAAAATATCCATATCGACAACAAGCACTATTCAACTTGCTGTGGCCGGGCATAGGTCACCCAGCACGATTCTCCTATATACTACACGCGCTGACACAGTTGCTGCTTAAAACGTAAATGAAAAGCAAAAAAACTCACCTCAAATGTCAGATCCAGGGGACGGGAATGGGCGGGGGAACACATGTTGCCGTGCTAGCAGGAACATTCAAGCTCTGGAAGCTGATCTCTGAGCCTCACCATTTACAACCTGCACCCGCACGCTTGCTTGATTACGCATTGTTTTTCTTTCATCTCTCTGCAGGTGAACTTTTTCACGGATCACACAAACACCTGAAACTTCACTGTAGTGCCACGATATGCAGCTCATGCACAAACAAACCCCATTGAACAGACTGGTGAAGATCATGAAAGAACGGGGTTTGATTCTGTAGTAGAAACTTCACCCATGAAAGTGCAACCCTAAAAACCTTTAAAAAACAACCAAATTTGCGTAGTGTTTTACAAACTCTACCTAGAATCCATTTCCAGGAAATCACTCCTGCCTTTCACATTCTGCTCATAAATTTAACATGTAATTCACATGAATTTTATGTGACTTTTGATCACCCACAGTTGCACTTCACCGGAAAGATCGAGTATTGTGATGAACCCAACAACGACACCAGAGCATGCAAAGTAGACTGAAACACACACATAAATGGATTTTAATTTTAATTTTAAAATATTGATTTTTTGAAAAAGGAATATTAGTTTTTTGGCAAAGAGATTTAGTGGATTCTTTCTTCTTATATACAAAGTTTTGGTAAATAAGAGACATTAGATATTATATCTTATGAATATATATATATATATATATATATTCAAAAATTGATTTCTACTTCTGGTAAATGTTTTTGTCAATTCTAAGCCACATATTTATCACCCAACTTGTTACTGTCATGTTTGCTCCACTTCCTTCTTTATAAAATAATTGGTAGAAAATAATATCATGTTTTGCTAGATTCTTGAAGATTCTTAAAGAATTTTATCAAAAAATTAAAAATAAGATTATAATCAATTTATCTATCTTTTATAGGATTTTTCATTGCTTGCTCATAAACTACATGAAAAAATCAAATAAACATTTTTAAAATTCATTTTGCTAAATGTAAAATTCATATATATATATATATATATATAAGAAAATAATAAAGAGATCCAAATTTTTACTAAATTGATTCATCTTGAATGAAGAATCATTGCACCCTCATCTCCGTTCCCCTCATTCCTACATTTTCAGCCTCCATTTATATTTTCAAGATCTCCTCTTCTAGCTATGATCTAATATTCTTATAAGATCCTCAACTTGCAATGGCTCTCTAGCACTACTAAATGCTACAACAATGCTTGTCTTACTCCCCTCACTCCAACACTATAATTCAATGTTTGTTCCAATGTTCTTAGCTTTTGTATGCACCATGACACCCTCTCTATTGCTAATCCTTCCACATTGTCTCTTCCATCATTTCCTTCACACCTCCTCTCTTCCACATTCTTTGCCCCTTGTCTTGTTCTATCCCATTGCCTCCCCATACATTATGCATCTTCTTTGCCCTCAACTTGATCATTGAATATGGTTAATTTGGGTCTCCAAATGTTTACAAAATACAAAGAGTAGAAAAATCTCAGCAATTGTTTTTGCAGAGGTTGAGTTGAATCTCTCCTCAAAGGATGTCAAACAAATTATACAAAATTTTAGCAAGAAAAATTACATCAACATTAGTAGCATGAACATAGTGTAAAGAAGAAATTTTTTGGACGACACCATAGTGGCTATAAAGAGATTAATAATTTGGTGGGATAAAATGATTTAGAAAGCGCAAACAATCCTAGTAGACGGATTTAGATTTTGGGCAATATTCAGTAGTGGACTCTTGTCAAAGTGATGGATTATTGCTGCAATTTCAACATGAAGATACTAGTAATAGAGTATGTGTCCAATAGAACATTGAGCAACTTGATGTATCCATTGAGGGATGCCAAAGTAGTAAAAGAGTTTAATTAGATTCATCAAATCAATGTGACTATCAAAATTGCTAAAGGATTGAAATACCTTCACCATGGTTGTTTGAACTTCATTCTTTATGGAGATTTGAAGCCGAATAACATCATATTCAATATCTTTATGAAAGCAATGATAATTGATTTTGGTATTGCAAAGGCTTTGATTAATAATAAAATTATGCCTAATACTTCAATTAACATTACTACTAATTGCTACTTTGCTTAAGATATATAACTCAAATCTATGATAGCTTTTTTAATATTAAAGATCTTGACATTGGGTAGGAATGTGGACAAGGATAATTAGACGACTTAGTCTGAGGAAGCAAATTATTGATTAAAGTGCCACAACAAGCAATCATAGTACAAAAGCATCTCTTGAGGTGTTTGATTCTATGCTTTTATAAGCAATTATGATAAGAGAAAGAAATTAAAAATGGGTATGAAAGCCGAAATTGTGGAAACAAGTACAACATAGAAATAGAAACAAGAGTGCAATGATCCTTTATCTAAAGTGGGTCACTTTAGTAAAAAATTAGATTGCTTTATCATTCTCCTATATATATTATATTAACTTATTACAATCATTGAATACATTTAAAAAAAATTCATGCCAAATATTTTAATTTAATATGATCATAAGTTAAACTTAACTATAAAACATAATTTAAAAACCAAGATTTTATTTTTTAATATATATTATTATATTTTACTAAAATTTGAATATGATAAAAATCAAATCATAAATTCTAAAAAAATTACCACATATAGATCTTATATGCATTGGCCCTTTCATTGCAAAATTATAAAAAAATACTTAAAAAATTAGTCTTTACTTTTAATTTCTAATTTTTATTTTTTAAAAAATAAATTAAAAGAAAAAGAAAAATAAAAATAAAAATATAATACAATTATATCCATACAATAATTTATTTTCTATAATTTTATAGAAGGTTTTTTTTTTCTTAATTATCAAATAGGATTTTATTATATAAAATAAATTAAAAATATAATTTATAGTGAGATATAAATATAAATATGAAAAATAAAATTTAATAAAAAATAAATAAAAATACAACATAAATTACTAATATTTTTTGGAAAGGAAAAATTAATTTTTTGATGCTTAAAATTATTATTGATTTTTATTTTATTGCTAATCCATGGACTTATATTTTTAGTCTTCAATAAAAATATATTCACATATAATAGGCTTAATTTAATTAATAAAAATTAAACTATTTATTGAATTGATCTATAATTGAAATTAAATTTTAATTTTAATATTAAAATGAAATTAAATTATATATATATATATATATATATATATATATAATTTAAAGTAAAAATTATCATATTTACAAGAAGCAATATTTGAGACTATAACTACTAATATAATTTCAAAATAAGATATTGATGAAATATGAAGCCACCTAAGAATAAAAAAATACAACAAAACAAATTAAAGAAGAAATAGTTAAGACTATTAATATTATATATATATATATATATATATATATATATATATATATATATATATATAATATTTATAAAAAAAGCCGATTAAATTTAATGTATATATATATATATATATATATATATATATATATTTTAAATATTTTCCCACTTAAACTTAAATGGATGAGACTATGCAATACCTAGATTATAAATGGATGAAGTTGATATCCATATTTTTACTAAAGACAAGGTATTCATTGGTTATGAGTTAGAATTTGTGTTTAATTCAAATAAGAGATTAAGTTTATTTCAAACAAAATGACATTCAAAAAAAAATTCAAAAAACTATAATTCTTAATATATATATATATATATATATATATATATATAGAATTCTATCATGAAAATAAAATAATTCTTTTTTATTGTATTTATATAAAATCTTAAATGATATAAAAATAAGGTTTAGAAAAATAAATAGTAGATACTATGCTAATTAAATGATAGCTATGGAAATCATGTCAAATTTTAGTGTTCCTTTGCAAGTTAGTGATATCAACAAGCTAGTCTATGAAGAATTTTTTTGCATATTTGGAGCTAAAAGATGAAGTCTTTTTTACAAGTAAAAAACTTGTGGAAGCTTATAATTGATAAAATCAAAATAACAACATATTGATATTCATACAATAGGCAAATTATATATGTATAAGATATTACTTCACCTTCTATAAACAAGTTCCATAAGAAGTAATAATCATATGTTGAGAAAGTCCAAGATACAATAAATTGTATTTGCCATATATTTTGATGTTTTTTTCTTTCAAAGGTAGTTGATAGGTTCTCTCAACCATCAATAGTATTACATACTAGGACAAAAAGACCACCTTGATATTTGCTCATTGTTGAAGCCTTCATAAATTTCTTCAAATAAAATATTTAAAATACTATTAGGAGTGGTTTTATGTCTAATAATATCACCAAGCATTAGGAGTCTCTTTGAAGGTTGTAATATCAACCACATTATATTTTACCATCAATTTTAAAAAAAATATGTCATTTTTGAAGGTCTTCATTTCTATTACATCATCTTAAAGGTTGTAACAATCACAATGTCTCATTTGATAATTCAACAAATAATAATTATATCACTTTACTATTATAAATATATAAAAAATATAAAAAAATATTAATTTCCTATTACTTTAGTATTATAAATATATAAAAACTACAAAAAATAGAAGATAGAATAAAATCTTCTTTGAATCTTGTTTCTTTTATAGAATTTTTTTTCTATTTTTTAACTTAATTTTAATAATTTTTTTCAATAAAAAGTATCAATATTCTTTGCTATATTTATAGAATTCTTGTGTAACTTCTATGTATATTCATTTATATCATATTTATACAAATAAATAAGATATTTTAATTTAAGTTGGCCCACCTTAAGTTTAAGACTTCTTTTGCTTCAAATTCTTGATTATTGTTCATTTCTATAAGAAAAGGTGGCATTTGTCTTCTTTTGGAATATTCACTATCTTATATGGCTTAAGAAGAGATACGTAAAATATAATGTGATAGTAAGAGTGTTTGCTTTAGAAAAACATAGAATTTATGGATGCAACTAGATATGGTCAAATAATACTCTTCATTCAAATGAACTATATTACTTCATACTCTTGATATTATATAAAAAAATGTCATTATTTCTTCATTCAATTAGGAACCATAGTTCTATATTTCATTAGATTTAAGCATGTGATGACTCTTTAAAAACTACTTAATCTCTCTCTCTCTCTCTCTCTCTCTCTCTCTCTCTCTCTATCTATATATCTATATATATCAAATTTTACATCTTAAATTTTTCTATATCATATTTTATAAACAAACAAAGCTAATGATTATATTAACATGAAGCAATTAATTCTTTTTTATTCAAAATTTACTTTATCTTCATACTAACTTTTCTTAAAAGAAATAAGAGATTTTTGAAAAGCTAAAAAAGAGAGGAATTATTTTTTAAAATCTCCAAAAAAAATATTAAAAATACCATGAAAAAATTTTCAAAAAAAAAATTGAAGAAGATCCTAAAAAGTGACTAGTTCTTCTTTTATTCTAAAACATACTTCATCTTCATAATAACTCTTCTTGAAGTAAGTAGAAGCTTTT